CAACAATGAATGAATGGAAATCTAAAGTCTCTGTAAATGTTCATTAAAATTAATAAAATTTAATAAAAATAAAAAAAAAGAAACTGAGCTGCCAACGCAAAGGTATATGGTTTGAATCCACCAGCTGCTCCACAGAAGATAGATGTGACATTTTCCTCTTGTATAATTTAATGCTTCTGAAAACTTGCTGGAGGTCAGCTATGGGTTGGTTCTGACTTGAAAGTACACAACAACAACAACAAAACATAATAAAGTTAATTGAAAAAGAAAAATATTTTAACTTGTAAATCAGTATACTTTACCTTGAAGTTGGGTAACTTCATTGTTTTAATTAAATTCAGACAGAAAGCAATTCCCAAAATATCCTGTAAAATCCAAGCCCACCTAAAATAAAAAGATAAGTACAGTGTCATTCAGTTATTTTTGGTGAAATGTTTCACAAGAAGTAGATTATTAAATTAACCCTGCTCTTTTATGATTTGACCATGAAATGATTAAGTAGTAACTATAACAAGAACAAAACCCCTTTATGTTCTTCCTACTTAGTAATTTGCAGCTGCAAAGAGCTCCAGTGGTGTAGTCCTCAAGAAGCTGTGCTGCTAACCCAAAGGCAGTATCTCTCTGGTAGTTCATATCTACCAGCGACTCTGTAGGAGAAAGATAGGCAATCTCCTCCGATGCCATTTACAGCCTCTTGAAAATCAGAACGTTGGCAGTGAGTTGGTTTCAATTTGATGACAATGAGAAAACAAAATAATGAATACTACTGTAATAAGCAGTCCTGGTGTCCTAGTGGTAAGATACTGTGCTGTAATCCCAAAGTCATGCAGTTTAAATCCATTTGCTGCTCTGTGGGAGAAGAATGGGCAACCTCCCATGTGATTTACTGCCTCTGAAAACTCACTGGAGGGTCAGTTATGAATCAGTTCCAACTCCATCACATACAAAAGAAAAACAACAAAAATTATACAAAGAGGGAGCTCTGGGGGTTTTAGTGGTAAGGAATTTTGCTGCCTAACCAATGGCACATGGTTTAAATCCAGCAGCTCTTCAGAGGGAGGAGGTAGGCAATTTATTCCTGTGAAATGTACTTCTCTGAAAACCCACTTGAAGGCCAGTTATGAGTTAGTTCTGATGTGAAGATACACAACAATTAAACTAATAAGATACAGGTTATCTCAAAAGAAAAATAATAATCAGACAGACATAAATACATATTTATCTTTAATCTTTCAACTTCTACTTATGTCTCTTTCTGAAAGATAACTCATAACAATGGATACTCAGATAGCTAGAACATAACAGAAACAGAACTACACAACTCATTCATCAGAAATGGATATGCATAATTATTAGCAGATTATCATAACTGAAGCTGCCTAAAAATGCATGAATCTTCCTCTCTAAACTTTCTACTATAAAATAATCTTTAATAATTGTTTTGACTATTAAATAGACGTAAGTGTATTCTGACTATTAAATAGACTTAAGTGTATTCTTTTTCTTGGATGCAGCATTGCAATCCCAAAGCCAAGTGGTTCAAGGTCAACAGATGCTCCTCAGAAGGATGGGCAATCTCCTCCAGTGCAATTAACTGTCTCTGAAAACCCACTGAAGGGTCAGGTATGGGTCAGTTCTGACTCTTTGGTACACAACAACAAGGGTATTATTTTTTCTTGGATACCCTTTTTGCAAATAGGTAACTAACTGATATCCCTTTCATTCTTATATGAAAAGGAGGTAGAAACATTTTTAGTGGGTTTTATTTTTTTTCTTTTTCCACTGTGCTTAACAACAGATTCTAAATCACTGCATAAGAATTCATAGAAATCTTTTTCATAGTTGCATCATGAGCCATTATATAGATATGACATAATTAGGTATTTCAGCTTATTTCCTTTTCTGTATGAGCACAAACCCATTAGCACAAAGTCCTTTATTTCAAAGTCTAAGAGATTCTGGAATAAAAGCAAAACAAACAAAACATAATAATGGCTAATCATCAGGACAAGATATAGACCAAGGACATAACAGATGGATCCTGACAGAATAGGAGGAAAACATAGATTGTAACTCAAATTTCTAAATTGGAGCAGCAGAGATCAAAAGAATTCCTGAGACAACTTTTGTAACTCATACCACTCCCAGTTTGTAATCCAGAACAAAAATAAGAGTAGCTCAGAAAATAAGAACTATCACCAGTCAGAACTCTGTTCCTCTATGCAACGAGCCTTTAGGAATTTCATCAAACATAATCGTCAACATTTACTCTAGACTAAAGATGAGGAGATAAGAAGGGGGACAAAAAAGATTAACAGAGTAAGAACAATCAGAATGGAAATAACAATGCTGTCACACGGTGAAAAGTATAATGAATGTCACTGAATAGATACAGAGGATCTAATTTTATAATCCATTTTCTCCAAAAGTACAATACAGAATGTGAAGAAAGTGGCCTTTTGGATCACTGACAAGCTTCTTAAAAGAAACTGCAATAAACAGGAACTTTGAGACAAGAAAGAACAAGAAAGGATTAATTCAGGGAATCTTACTAAATCTAGTCTATCAATAAAATGACACAATTTAATATTTAAAGTAGGAAAAAAATAAACAGATGTTTCTTATCTGCTTAGTGTAGCTCTCATTCTGTTTTTTTTGTAAGGTACAAATTTCATGGTACAAAGTGTGCTCCTGAAATCTAGGGCTTTTTCCAAAATGAATAATCATCTTTTGTTTCCTTACCCAAATTCAAATAAAGAAAATTTAATTATTCAGAGAAAAATATAATAGCAAAAATAAGAAATAGTATTTATACCTATCTTCATTTCGAAACACAGCCCAAACAACAGCTACAGCTATGCAAAATCCAGCGAGTAAAAGGAGTCTTATTTCAAAACTTCTGTCACGGCATACGATCCTAAGAGAGAATGAAATTTTTTAGTCTAACCTGCAGATAAAATGATACTCATTTGATATGAGAAGTAGTTAATACTAACCAGTCACAGAAAAGGTACCAAAACATCAACTGCAAAATCTAAATTTAAGTAAAACACATGAACACTAAAATGTTTACCAGCTTCAATACAATTTTTTGTGCTGATGAAAATATTTTAGCTATGCTACTCAAAAGAAAAGACCTTCAACCAGGTGGACTGACAGAATGACTGCAGCAATGAGCTCGTGGTGGTGAGGTGGCACAGGGCAGGACAGAGTTCAGATATGTTTTTCACAGGGTCAGAAGTTGCACTCAACTTGACGACACCTCCCAAAAACAATGACAAAAACAATGCTGCCCAATACAATTCCTAGTCACATGTGGCCACTGAGTACCTGAAATTTAACTAATGAGATTTCGTGTTATGTGTCATCAGTCGCTTGTGACTCATAGCGACCTTAGGTACTATGTCTCTGAACTCTGCTCTATCCTGAGCCAATCTCTCTGTCTCTGACATATCTATCTCCATTTTCCCACTTACTGGGTCAATCCATCTCATCTATGGTCTTCCTCTCCTGTGCTGTCCCTCCACCTTTCCAAGAATGATGTCCTTCTTTCTTAGACATGAAATTTAAAAATTTACTCACTTACTTAATTTATTTAAATATCCACATATATTATGGACCATGTACATTTAACATTCCTATTTTTCCTCACATTGTTTTAAATAACAAATACTAACAGTCTAAAATTCTCAATTAGAGAACTTACTTGCACTGTCCACATGGTATCTTACGGATTAATGCCTCAAGACAGTTGTACAGACTCGTTGCTGATGCTATGCAGAAAATTGCTATCATAACATAAACTGAAAAAAATAAGACAGTAAATTACACAAGAGGAGAAGGAAATGTGATAAAACAATAATATTAATTCTTTACCTTTCTTATTGAATCAAAATCCTTTCAATGTAGTGCAGTGGCTGTGCTAGAAACTGAATTGGTAACTATATTGAAAATATTTAGATCTTAAGTTTTAAGAAGTATTCTAAGTGTTATTTTAAGCCAATTATATATGTAACAACAAAAATACATTGGTAGAACTGGTTTAGGCTTTATCATTCGATGATTTAAATTGTCAAGCTTGTTAAAAATTTCTATGTAGTATATTACATACATCTGAGAATAGCTAACTCATGTTAGAAGTGGAAGAATTTAAAAAAAAAAGAAGTGGAAGAATTAACAAATCATTAAAAAACACTTTGAAAAATGTAGTTTAGGCATGAGAACTGAAATGACCTAAAATACTAATTACATGTGGCTGACTGAATCACAACTCAAAAGATTAGACAGGAACACTAAGGGTCAATGATTTTATGTTAATGGAGGAGGATCAATGCAGGGAAAGAGGGTGAGAACAGTTACATTATGTAAAGAATGAAAGCAATAACACTTAATTTTATACGGAAAAAAGTTGGAATTGGTGTATGTTTTTGCTGTATATAGTCTGCACAAACTCAAAATATCTTATTTTTTTTTTAGTAAAATTTAAAAAATAGTAATTATTTATCCATATTTTCCCATGGTGGGATTTTTATTTTTAATAAAATGATTCATAGAAAAGCAAAATCCACTTAAGCATACCTCTTTGTTAAGACATGATACATAGGCAGTTAAAATTAACAACTGTTTTTCTATATTACCTATACTTATTTGAAAATTATTTAAAATAATGTTGTGACCTCTTTTATTAAAGGGTCAATATTTTACAATGCAAATGCAATTTTTGCCTGAAGTTTTCAAATTCTACTTTACTTTAGAAACTATAGTTTTGTTCTAGAGACAAGAAAGGGGTAATAACTAGCGGCACTAAGTAAAAGAAAGCTAATTTCTTTTTTAATTATTAAATTTTATTAGTTTTAATGAACATTTACAGAAATTTTGGGTTTTCATTCATTCATTGTTGCACAAAATATTCTCTACCCTCCACCCCAGTTCGTTCTTTTTTTTCCACCCTTGAAAGTCTGTTTTAATTGTCCAACTGCCACAGAGCTTGTCAAAGCCAGTTCTGATTAATCTCCTTTGTCAGTGTGTCCTTTGCCATTTCTAGCTGGTGACCTTGGACAGAGAACTTTTTAGGCTCTTAAGTCCTTCACTTCTAAAATGCAAAAGGTAGTAATACTTATTTTAAGATTATTATGAGGGCTGAATACACAGTGCTCAGAAGAGTGTGGTACATAATATACTTTATACCCGTTTTGTTGTTCATTTTATTACTGGAGATATCTGTTTATGGTAATCTGAGTAATTACTCAGAGGGCTGTCAAGTTAAGTTTAATAAGTTAGCCAGCAAAAAGTTGTCTACTCCAAGTTATAAAATATTGGTGGAAATCATGATCTGATGGCCCTATGAGAGTTTTAGGTGTCTCATTCAATCATATACTATACCTAATAAAATTATTACAAAAGTGAAAGAATTTTATTAACATTAACATTAGTTCCTGATAGTGACCATGATTTGTTTTAAAAAAACCCATTTTTTAAAAACATTTTTTTATCTTTTTTGTATTTTTTTTTCTTGTTGTGTATCGTCGAATTGGATCCGACTGGCATAGAAGGAGACTGCCCCTCCTTTTCCAGCAGAGCACCTGGTAGATTTGAACTCTGTGCCTTCGAATTGCAGCTCAGCTTCTTGCTGCTAGGACACCAGAGCTTCCTTCTTGACCATGATTTAATCATAAATGTTAAAGGGAACCTTAACAATTTAATACAATCTCCTCATTTTCATTTATTAAGAAAAGACCAGCAATTTTAGTCAAAATGAGCCATTTGAAGGTAATTCAAATCTTGTAACATCATATAAGCCACTGCCAGAGTTGCAAATACCTAATTTGAAATACAATGAAGCTAATGATTATCCTCTTACATCACAGATTATATTTATGTACAACTATTAATTTTTTTTAAACAGAAGTGAGTTTAAGGAAATTTCCTGCCAAAATTTAAAACATGTTTTAGAGAAGGGTAAAGAGCTCTCTTTTTTCTACAAAAGATCACAGATTTACTAATTGAGGCTCAGACACAAACAACTGAAAGCTGAATATTAAATTAAAAAAATTAACTGTTCAATGTCAACATATACAAATATGAACCTAGGATCCAATAATGACTGACATATGAGTGATATTCATAGAGTGATTTTTTTAAAAATTAAAAGTATATATAATGAGGATTGATTAGCCACAATTAATTTAGTTAGCTGATGATAATGTTATTTTTAAAAGTCTAAGAACGTATGAAAACCAATGATTTGTAAGCCTTCATGCAAATGAAAATATATAATTTAATAATAAAAAATTAAAAGTATATATATCATAGGCATTATTTTTAAAATTTCTTTCACATGTCAGAATAAACAATAAACTAACTTTAAGACTTTTATCTTCCAATCTAGATATTTATTATGCTGTTTCTAAACAGAAGAGTTGTAGGATTTGGTGGTTTGACAAAGGATTTTTTTGCTAGTTCTCATGAGGCACATTCTTTTTCACCCCTGGTCTCCTTCCTCTTTGTGCTGTATCCTGATTATGGCTCAAAAGGAATGCACGACCATTACAGTTCCTGTCCCAGACTTCTTAAAGGAGATAAAAGAAGGCACTCTCTAGATCACATGCAAGTACTTATGTATCTTCAGATAAGGTATGATTCTGACTGCTTTGTGTAATAAAGCAAAATTCAAATAAGAGAACATTTTGTTTTGCAAACTGATCAAAGGAGAAACTACAGAGAGAACCAACATACTAACAATTTGCATTGTCTTCTATGTATATAAAGTCCTTAGACTACTGCTTAGATATTGGCCTATCAACTCATTCTCTGCAGAGAAGGAAAATGAAAGACTATAGCAATTCTTTCAAAATTATTCATGAAGAAGTATTCTTCTCTTCATTCATTGTTGCACCCTTCTCCCCGCACAAACCCCTCCCCCCTCCCCCCATTTGCTCCTCTCCCTGAAAAGCAAAA